CCATATATGGTTAAGCTGCTTCCCAACTCCCCTTACAACCATTAACAGCCACCCCCCCACTCCTTAGTTACAAGCGGCAGAAAACAATCAATCCAACTCCCAACGAATGCAATACAATGGAAAACAACAACAGTTGGGTGATGCAGGTTCTGACACCAGTCTAGTTTTAGGGGTGAAGGGGTAATGATCTCAAACAACAAAGCAGAGTTGATCTGGTTAGGACTTAGCTAGGAGTTGACAAGAAATCTCATAGCTGCAGACTAGACTGACACTTCAAATAAAACACAGAAAAAGATAACAGGAAGCTGCTACAAAAAATTGTCAAAAACCACATAGAGGGGTCAACGAATTCGCAAGGAGCGGAACTCAACTTAAGGGAGGCTCGAGCTACCTTACCACTTGAGATCCCAAACAGACAAATTGCACTCAGATTGAGCTGAGTGCCTGAATGATTTTGATCCCCATTCAGAGAAGGGAGAGCGGAAGTTTTTTGTCTCAGTTCCCCATCAGACTGTAGCGTCGTGAAACTCGTTAGAGTCATAATACCAAGCACCACAGTAGGCCTCATCTTCGAGCTGGACATTGGTGATAGTAAGATAGCTGCTTGCCTCCAAATCAGAATTAGTAAATCAATCTGAGATGCCTTCTCCTCTGGAATTGGTATCAATCAGTATAAAGCGAGGAGTTTGACTATCCTTCTGTTGATACCACTGAAATCTGTACCAGTTACTGGTACTTCGAGAGCAGGACAGTTTTGCTGTTTGGCCCAGGGAGACAGACTTAGATGCTGGCTGAGTTACTACTTCCTATGAATTGGCACTTTCTGAAAAATGGGCAAACAAAATTTGTGCGATATTTTGCAAAAGCACCGTGCTGATACAACACATTGTTAGCTTATGCAATGTTTCTTCTGCATTATCTGAATTACCTGAACAGTAATGAAACAACACAAGGTGAAATAGAGTAGAACATAATGGGTTTTCTAAAGAGGTTTGCTTCAGAAAGTTAACTGGGGGAGAAATTGTCCTTCCTTTTTCTCTGGGACCAGAGAATATCTCTTTTCTGCAAAGGTGTTGGGTTTCCTTGGGCTTTGCAAGAATTTATTTCTTTCCATGCTAGAGCAAAGCCAGCAGGCAATGCCAACATTTGCATAAAGAAGAGGTAGGGACGTGTTTTCTTTGACCAGGATACAACAAAAAGGGTGGTAGAAAAAACTACTGTCATTGTCGAGTTCTTCTCAAACCACGGGAGAATGTGAGAACTTTCTTATCATATTTAAGACTCTCCAGTTTCAATGTCCATATACAGCGGAATATTTCTGAGAGGAACTATGAATCTGGTTCTCTTAAGCATTATTTTAATCTTTCTAAAGAAACATGCTCTTATTCCTTTTATTCTTCTGGTCTTCATCCCTCCCCTTCTGCCCTTTCACTGGTTGCAAGCATTCGAAAATATGTATTACTTTATATTAAAAATGCATACATATTCAGAGGTCTTTGCCTTAGAATTAGAAACTTTTCCAAACCTTGATTGAAATGGGGATTTTCTTTTCTTTTTTTAGATCATCCATATAACAACAGCAGCAACAACTTAAATGTATCTGGTGGGGTGGACTCTGTGGATGAATGAGTAGAATGATAGCAATAACAAGTTATGTTTCTACTGAAGAATACTACGCTTCAGTTCACTTCACCAATGCAGGTGGCTTGGAGACACTTGACAGTTGAAGCCTATCAAATATGAGAAAGCTAGACCAACAACTCCTCCCAGAGGCCAGCACAAAATATTGTCTTCACACACATCAGAGGTGGGGAGATGTTGTGGCATAGCAAATATCATCCACCTTCACCATAGGTAACACCTGGCTACGTTAAGAGCTGGACAATCTAAAGGTATCAGGCATCAATCAGATTAAGCTTCTAGTGATTATTCATTTATTCTGGAGAAGAGTGAAGGTGTATGTGTGCTTTTTTTTAATGCCCCACCAGGTAATCCACTTAGTCCTTCCCTTCTTCTTTGAGTTCCTCAAGAAGCAAAGAGAGCTTCAACCTGCAAAGTGGTTCATGCCTATTGGTTTCATGAGAGATATTGTGCTTCCCATGAGAAGAGATGACAAAAAAGCAAATTAGCATAATATCTTTTATTGAGAAGATTCAGGAATGTCCATAGTTTGGCCATATCAAAAACCCAGTTTGTCTAATGCTATCCCAGATGCCTTCAGGAAGCTCAGAAGGAAGTGGAGAGAAACAGCCCCCCTAGTTTATTCCCAGCACCAGAAGATCTTGGCGATTTAGCATCCCTCTTCACTTAGGAATGTTTACCTCCACAATGTACATATTGTTCTGGATTGCCTGCTTATCTGTTGGGGAATGAGAGGTTGATCAATATGCTGGGCCAAGATACACTGCTCCAAACTGCCCAACAACTACACTGGCTGAGAATCCTGGAATGTATAGTTCAAAGCATCTGCAGAGTGCAATGCAAAAAATGGAGGAAAATGTCCTAGGGCAGTTTTTCCCTGCATGGGTGCCCTCTAGATGTGTGGCATTCAACTCCCAGAATTCTTCAACTCCCAGAATTCCCCAACCAGTCTAGCTATTGCTGAGAATTCTGGGAGTATTTAGGATAAGAGGAGGCTGAGTCTAAAGAACTGGCTACAGGACAAAGAGGCAGGTAGCTTGCTGAAAATGGGGATCTGTGGGAAGATTATATACTAATGTTTCCAACAATGAAGGATTTGAGTGTCTTAAGTGGCTGAGTAAACAAATCAGTCAACAATATCCTTTGTGCTCCTTCAATGACATGATTCAAAATCTCTCAGGCATGAATGAAACTATTCTTAAGAAGAAGGTTTGGGTGTTGCTTCCCCGTCACTCTGCACCACTGTGAAACATTCTACCACTGCTATACCACATATCACAGTAGTAAACAGCCTCGTCTACTGCCTGGCTGTCGGTGATGGTTAAATAACCAATGTTCCCAGAGACAGAAGCCGTGTACCGATCTGGGATCCCTTCTCCTCTGCTCCCACCAGAGTAATGTACATAACGGGGGCTCTGTCCAACCTTCTGTTGATACCAGTATATGGTATTTTGGTCGCTGCTGACAGTACAGGAGAGTTTAATTGTTTGCCCCTGGGACACTGACATGTATGGAGGTTGGGTCAAAGTTGGTTGGGAGTTGATGCCTGTAGAAGAAGCATAAAAGTCAGTAATTTCCATTGCTCTTATAGCACCAGGTTTCTAGGATTCATTTGTAATAGCTAGCTCTGAGGTTGACCCATGGGCAGACATAGAGGAAAATTGCCCATACCTTACCTGACCAGGAACTGAGAAGTGCTAGGAAAAGCAGAGCCCAAGCCATGGTGCCTTTCTAAAAGGGTTGGACTTCTTGGCTCAAACTGTTGATTGACTAGGACCCTTCCCTGCTTCCTTTAAACTTCTAGAGGTGCAGAATAGCTTCATCATGCAAATTTGCCTTGCACCATTGGCTGTTTTAAAACTTTCCGGCTACGTAGTCTTTGTAGACCATGGGGGACAAAGCAAGATTTGCATGAAATCAATGCTAAAAAGTGGTAGGAATCTCTGTGAGAGAGTCAAGCAATAGCAATATAAAGAAATGTTTTAAGGAAATGTTTCTCACTCCATGGCTCTCAGAAATGTTTTGTGTTTTCTCGCTCCATTATTCTCTCTAGCTGGAAAAGGTCAACTGTGACGGGTAGCAACTTTTGAGAGCTTTGGCCGGGGGAGGGGGGGGGGAATCTTCTCTTCTCTACCTGGGGACAGAACCTGGGATGTCTTGCATGCAAGTCAAGTGGTCTACCCTAAGACTGGGACCCTAACCCACAAAAGGAATCCCTACCCTTGACTGTAAATATTGAGAGCTCTATCCAGGGAGATACAGATGGAGAATTTACTTTCTGGAACACGTGAGGGGCAGCAACCCTCAACTGCAAGTTAATATCAAAGAACCTTGTTGCCCGTTATGAAGATTTTACTGTAGATAGGGATTATTTTGCTTTAATAGGGTATTTCACCTTCCTTTTAAGGGAGGGTTCTCAGCCTGGGCAAGCTGAAAGGTATCTTCAGCCCTACAGGGTCAAAGCAATATCTACATGCTGCTACCTCATTCTTGAATTCTTCCAAAGCCTTCCACTTAAAATGATCTATGAGTACCACAAGGACCCATAGGAAGTCCTAAATATCTTCCAACAAATTATTACTACCTCCGTACAGGAATGTCTAGTCCCATTCTTGCTTGGAATCCCTGTAATAAGCTTTCCAAAGCCTGGTTTTGAAAAAGGGATGTGTTTCAGTGAAGATTGCAATGGGCTCAGCCTACAGTCTTGCAACTTCCTATAATGACCCCCAGTCTGAGAGGTCTTTTGCTCACTGAAAAAGGAATTTAAGATACTTTTGAAATGAATGCTGGGCTTCCAGGGTGAGTCATGGCTGACTGAAGACATCTCCCCAAACAAGTGAAGTTGATGACCGCTGTGCAGAACGAAAGACCAGAAAGTAAACTGGTCCTTCCCATTTCTCCAGAGAAGGAGAGATCAGGAGATTGCCCACAAGTGCTCTGAATGGCAGCTCCTTGCAATGAAACTGTAAAACAGGGCCTCCTGTAGGTTTGAATGCCAGGAGCCGAGGGAGACAATATCTTTCCTCTCAGCAGCGGTGGAGCCTTTCATAAGAACACAAAGCCAGCCAAACTCACTTTCTAATCACTTTAGTTTAACCACTTGATGGATATTAGGGACCTTCAAAACAGTGAGCTCAATCTGACACCTGGTGAGTTTTACTTCTTCAGATTTATGAAACGTGAAATAGAGTCTTAAGAATTTAAAAGAATATACAGTTGACAAAAAGCAAATCAATAAGTAAAGGATTTTGATTTAAGTAAGTTTCAAATGGTTTAGGAGGCCAGAGAGATTTGGAATATTGGTTACTTTTGCTGTGAGATTTGAAAAA